AGGAGGAGGAGGAGGAGGAGGAGGAGGAGAAGAAGAAGATTGCGACAGCGAAAGACGTAACCACTACGCCACAGACATCGGTTCGTTGCCTTTGTAAGAACTCGCTGAGAGCTGCTCACGCCAGTCTTGCCATCATCAAAGACACTCACACACGCCAAGACACAATCCCCCTCCCTACAAGACGGAGCACCTGTCTGTCACCAAACCTCACCATCAATTTCTCACACATCTTCCCGCCCAGATGACCTGAACCCATCACAGAATCTTGCAGTGTCCATTGTCAACTGGTCTGAACATCACTCTGTCCATCTTTCATCATCCTAGTCGGTCATTCATATTGAGAAAAAGAGAAGCACACAGAACTCCAATAATTGTCATCTGTACAATCGAGATTTCTCAGCACACTCATCAATCATTTGACAGTCGTGGAAAAGAAGGTTCACGTTAGGCTGGAACAGCTGAGGTACAGATCCCGCTGATGTCTTAACAAAGAACAATGGATGAAGGGTTCTATCGCAAAACGTATTACACGCCAAATATGGGCACTTCTGAAAATCCCCCTCCACTCAATAATCTTATTTTAAGAATATATTCTTTTAATCAAAATGCACCGAATCCTTCAATATTTTTGTGAGATGTAAAAAATAAATTTTGTTTCGTTCATTCTATTGTTTTAAGAATTGTTGGCTTTTCCCCATTTTTCTCAGTTTTGTAGTAAATGGATATAGTGCGTTTCGTCACGGAGCCATTCAATTTCTAATCACCCACAAGAGTTGTCTCGGAAATGAAATCCTACAGCGGACGATCAATCACGCTTTCCAAAAGACCTATCACTTCATGTGAGCTAAAAGCGCGTCTTTCTCTCAAGAAGGGAATACTGCTTCTTGTCTCCGTATTGCTATCCAATGTTCTGTCATTTTGCCCCAGTTGTTTTTTATCGTGGTGATAAATTCCGTTCTTGTAAGTTTTACGGCCCTTGCAACACAAGTAGATCGTACAAGAGCCAAAGATTAGAAGTGTTAGTAAAGAGTAATATACACGAAAGACAAGAATAGGTAGAAATAAGGTTGAGTGATGATTGATAGGAAAGAAGAAGCAAATCACCTCAGATACCAACATGGTATAAAGTACACCTAAACTGCCCTCGTTTCTGCATGCAAGCTAGGAAATTAAGATTCTGCAAGGGGTTTACTTAAACAGACGTGATAATCACTAAAATAATTGAGTTCTGTTATCACAAACTCAACAACCTCGCCTGCCAACTCCCCCCTCCCCCATCCCCCCTCCGCACGCCACCCACCCGCACAAAAATATTTCAAAATACAAAACAAAAACCAACAACGATAACACAATAAACAAAAACAAAACTAAGACCAAAAAAGACAAAAAATGAAACCTGTTTAAAGGAGAATGTAAAAATATAAAAGCACATTACCATCAGCACCATACCATCAATAACTAGATATTATATTTTTTTAAAAACCCAGCATAATACCATAACCACCAACATATTAACAATACAAAAAATCCCATATCATTAAAAGCAACAACAGTAACAGCAAAAAGCAAACAACTCCCCCTCCCCCCCCAAAAAAAAGAACAAACACAAAAAAACAACCAAACCAACGAAAAATCTAACATTTGACTCAGCATGCAAATCCCACAGACCAACCTTATTGCAAGATTGAAATCTGCAATCAAACCAACAAACTGTATTGTATGCACAGTCAGACCTCAGAGCTCCCATCTTGTACATAATGTATGGGACGCGACATTAACTTTTTGGCCCCAACCGTCCTTGACCTTACTTTGACATTGACCCTCGGCCCATGAGCCCGGATGTGGAGATCAAGCAGGGATTGACCAATCATTGCTCGATAATAACAGATAACCATGAGGGATCTTCTTCAGTCTTTCTGCTGTAATGCTGTATCCAACCAAGGTTGGCCCTGACAGGCAGGGTCTGAAGCATCTAAATTGTGTCGATGGGGCAGTAAAAACACTTACATTTAAAACTCCCACTGTTTTGTGTTTCAGATAGAATGTGAGTGGTTTGCAGGCACTCTGCTGTGGCTTGCTCTTTCTTTCCTTTCAATCATCTATCGTCCTTATCGTGGCGTCGGTGGCTTAGTGGTTAGGCTCTCGGACCCGCAACCGTAAGGTCGTGGGTTCGAATCCCGTCAGGGACCCGACGTAGTGTCCTTGGGAAAGGCATTTTACACGCATTTTCCTCACTTCACCCAGGTGGGAATGGGTACCCGGCTATAGAAGCGAAAGATCTTGTCAGTTTGTTAGTGTTTAAGCGCTTAATCAGCTGCTTGCACTGTATGCTTCCGGGAAGCTGAGAATGTTTCGGAGTGTTCTATGGTCTGCTGGGGTAATAATATAGTGAAAAGCGCATAGAGCCTGCTGTTGAGCGGGGATATGCGCTATACAAATGCTATTTATTATTATTATTATTATTATTATTATTATTATTATTATTATTATTATTATTATTATTATTATCGCTCGGTGCATGTTACTCACTTGCAAACCATCTAATCTTCGGCACTTATATGAACAAACTGATAATGTTGCAAATGCCGTAAACTTCTTATTAAAACGAGAACCAAAACAAAAGCATACATTTAATCATTTGGCCCCCCAAAAAGGGAATATGTAGGCCTGTGTACAATTGGTCGCTTTTAAGCACAAGGGGGCTATCCCAAAAAATGCTGTTTTGAGAAAATCGAAGGTGAAGTTTTTGCCCCTGGTTCAGTTTGTTTAAAAGGCAAGGAGAGTGTTCGCTATAACCAAACAAATAAATATACACACCAATGAAACCAAACTTCTCCTATAGGTAGGGAAGCAATGCCCACTTTTGGTGTAGGTCAAGATTTCTGGAAACCCCCGCTTGCCCTTAACAGCGACCAATTAATGTACTACTACTACTACAGTACTCCAGGTGAAGAAATGGAAATGGATTGAGCACATCCTGAAGAGACCCCCGACAAGTATCATCAGACAGGTTTTGACGTGGAATCCACAAGGAAAACGTAAGAAAGGAAGACCGAAAATGACACTGGGGCGAGCGGTACAAGCGGAAATGGAAAAGGCGGGGACATCATGGAAACAGCTAGAAAAAGATGCACAGGACAGGCTTCGCTGGAGAGATGTTGTTGATGGCCTATGCTCCATTGGGATTTTTTAAAAGGGCAAGAGAGAGAGACTACAGTACTGACCCTCAATGTCGCAGCGCGCGCCCTCATAGTCCGTGCCGTAACAGTCGCACTTGACGGACGTGTAGAGGTTCACGCACTTGCCCAGGTTACAGCTCTTGTCGCCCAGGCACAGGTTCACGCAGCCTGACGTCACAGCCTCCGTGGTGCTGAACTGAGGTGACGTCAGAGTGCCGTCTTCCAGGGAGTACTCTACGTCACGGATACAACCCACGAACGGTGTCGCGTCATCGCCACGGGCTGTCTTGGAGTCTGGAAGGGAAAGACAGAAAGCTCAAACATATCTTTGGTACACCGTTGGCTCAAAGTCAGGAAGGGAAAGACAGAAAGTCAAAAGATCTGTCTGGCGCACCTTTAGGTCATTTGGCATCACAGCAGACTACAAACCGCACAGTAGACCCTTTCTTTTTTAATGTACATACTTTTACGCCCCCATCGACACAGTTGAGATAACTCAGGATGCGGATTTCTGACCCTGCCTATCAGGGCTAACCCGCTCTGAGAGAGATACAATTTCCCAGCAGAAAAACTGACATACTCAATAAGATTTGGTCCAAGAAAGGTAAAATGTTAACATCTTTTTCTATGTATTGGCCAAAACTTATAACATGTAATCCCTATGGAAAAAAAATTGCATTTCGAACAAAACGAACCCAGTGAACAAAAAGACAAACTTTGAACAAACAAAATAGAAGAGACGTCTACGACACGGAGATAGACCAATCAAAATGCTTTGTGCTTCTGGACTATTTAAAAATCTGGGGGTGGGGGGGGTTGCAGTGGGTGGGTGTGCTCTATTTCCGGGGTGCTTTGATAGTCGAAGCAGACTTTGTGCCGTTAAACGCTAGAGAGGTGAGCAGAGTAGGTTTGATTCCCTGTAAGGACTTCTCTGTTGACATCCACCCCTTGGCGCTCATATGACCTTATATATGTAGTTGCGAGCGCCGTAAAACCTCTACTATAAAAAAAGACCCCCCCCCCAAAAAAAAAGACTTACATGTGCCTCCCACCGCCATGACGGAGGTCACGTGGCCCCAGAGCAACACGTCAGCGGCGTTACCCCAGGCGTAGGCCTTGATGCTTTCCGTCTCCATCTGGCCGTCCAGGGTCAGCCTCAGCTCCCCGTCCCCGGCGTCCACCTCCAGGTCAACCACATGCCACTGGTCGTTGTTCAGGGCTGTCAGGGGGGA